GGCTCTCACAAATGTGAGCCTTGATAATTTTTTCAAAGACTTTGCCAAGGATGGAGGTGAGACTGACTGGCCTATAGTTGCCCGGGTCCTCCTTCCTCCCCTTCTTGAAAATGGGGACCACATTGGCCCTTTTCCAGTCCTCCGGGACTTGGCCCGTGCGCCACAAGCGTTCAAATATTCCCACCAGTGGCTCTGCAATGATGTCGGCCAGTGCCTTCAGCACCCTGGCCCATGCACCACGAGTGTTCAAATATTCCCACCAGTGGCTCTGCAATGATGTCGGCCAGTGCCTTCAGTACCCTCGGATGGAGCTCATCCGGGCCTGCCGACTTAAAGGCATTCAGGTCCTCCAAGTGACTCTGCACCATCTCAGGGTCTACGCATGGCAGTCTGGCATCTTGCTGCTGCCTCTCTACAACCCCAGTGAGAGACTTGTCGTGCCCTTCGCTTAGGAGCACTGAGGCAAAGAACTCGTTGAGGAGTTCAGCCTTGTCCCCTCTGTCCGTCACCAATTGCTTCTGCCCATTTAGCAGGGGTCCTATTCCTCCCGGGCCACCGGTGCATGGGATTGTTCTGTCCTAAGTGCAGGACTTTGCACTTGTCCTTGTTGAACCTCATTAGATTTCTATTGGTCCAATCCTCCAATTTCTTTAGGTCTCTCTGAATCCTAGCCCTACCTTCCAGTGTATCTACTACTCCCCCCATCTTGTTGTCATCTGCAAACTTGCTGCAAACTGGCACTCTGCCATCTTCCAGGTCATTGGTGATGATCTTGAACATGAACGACTCCTGAGGCTGGGGGGGCATGGCAACCTCCCGCAGGCAGTAGCGGTATCCATGGGGGTGCATGGCAGCAAGGGAGGACTAGGAAGATAAAAGTAACTCTGGAACAACAGAGGGTGGAGTTCTAGCTTTCAATCTCCATCCATAATAATCAGGACTAACTATTTCACCCTATAATTGCCCAGTTACTACACATGGAGCCAGTCATCTCATCATAGAAGGCAATCACATTGGTGAGGCATGACTTGCACTCATGGTTCAAATTATACTTTGACTCCTGCGGAAAGGCTGCAAAAAAAATGAAATTGGCTCATCGATTCACAATTTCACCTAGGTGAAGGAGCAATCCGATCAGAGACCCCTGGCCCCAGGTTCTGATTTTCAAATCTTACAGGGGGGATGTCATCTCTTATGGTGGGGAGGGGGGGCTCAGCCTCCCCACCCCGCCCCAGCTCCCCCTTAATTCACACCCTGCTTGCACTTGGTGAATCCATGCTGACTGTTACTAATCACCTTCTCCTCCTAAGTGCTTAGAAACGGATTTCTTGAGGATCCGCTCCATGATTTTTCCAGGGACTGAGGTGAGGCTGACTGGTCTGTAGTTCCCTGGATCTTTCTTCTTTCCTTTCTTAAAGATGGGCACTATGTTTGCCCTTTTCCAGTCATCCGGGACCTCTCCCGATTGCTGCAAGTTTTCAAAGATGATGGCCAGTGACTCTACAATCACATCAGCTAACTCTCTCAGCACCCTTGGGTGCATCCCATCCAGCCTCATGGACTTGAATATGTCCAGTTTTTTTAAATAGTCCCTAATCTGTTCTTTCACCACTGAGGGATGCTCCCCTCTTCCTGCAACTGTGCTGCCCGGTGCAATAGTCTGGAAGCTGCCCTTGCCTGTGAAACCTAAGGTGAAAAAGGCATTGAGCACTTCAGCCTTTTCTTCCTCCCGTTACTAGGTTGCCTCCCCCCACCCCCTCCATTCAACAAAGGACCCATTTAGGAAAGCTCAATGAAAGTCACCTCTAGTTTCAACTTGGAAGTTTTAATTCTTTAAAAAATACATGACCTGGGTGGCATGGCACCCCTGGATGCTATTCTGATTGTCAAATCTCTCTGGAAGTAGCTTTCTCAGCAAAAACGTCCCCGTTGCAATGGGATGATGTGATAGGAGTGTAGTGACCTCCTGAGGAGGGGGGCAGTTCCTGACAAACTGACCCGGTTCAGAGCCAACAGTGGGTCTGTCCCCGTGCTGGCTTGGCCTGGAGCCATCCAGGGAGGACCAGAAGTTGCTGGGGTAAGGGGCTGGGGGGTGCAGATGCAGGGCACAGTGGCACAGGAGTAATATGTTGTGAAGTGCGTATAATGTGGCTGTGAATGTGTGCCCGCCTACATGTCCCATGACGAAGCAGGAAGAGATTACATGCATGGCTATCAAGCCAAGCCGCTGGTGGGAAGCGGAAATAAAAGGAAGCTGGAGAAAGCAGCCGACTGGGATAAGAGCAGGGGAGACGTGCAACCAGACTCAGGCTGCAAAGGCAGCTCTGGACCTGCAGACCTGTACGGGGCACCTGTGGGACGACAGCTGGTTTGTAGGGGATGCTTCTGGAGCTGGGGCTGGGAGCATCGCATGTTAAATGAGTGCATTTTGGGGGCCAGCTGTCACAACCTGTGCATGCGACACTGTTCCCTGACCCATCCAGGCCCTTTCTCTTTGGCCCCATGGTACCCTTATACGAAGTTGGCAACCCCAGTTGGCCCATTATGCATGCTGGAGTGCAGTGCCACGTGGGGTGTGCTACAGGGGTCCAGCTGGGTGCTCGCACAGGGATGAGGATGGGTCTGCCCCAGGCTGCTGGGGGACATGGAAGAGGCGGGAGGGCCTGGCCGAGCCATGGGGCCATGCAGGAACAGGGTGGGGGTGTGAGGGGTAGGAGTGTGAGGGCTGGGTTGGGCCGGGCTGGAGGGGCTGCAGTGCCACAAAGGGAGCAGGAGGCCAGTGGCATTGTCAGGGGATGAGATAAGCAGCTGTCAGGGCCAAGGCCTGCGGGTGGGGTAGGGAATGGAGGGGACAGGCAGGGCCAAGCCTGCTGTGAGGGGTTTAGTCAGGGTGCCACAGGGGGACACGAAGAGCCAAGGGCTCAGGCCAGAGCACGGGGGAGAATAAAGGTGCCCACGGTGCAGCTCCGCTGCCCCCGTTGCCCTCCTGCCTATGGTGCCCTCCCCTGTGGCTGGACAAGAGCCAGCAGGGACGGGCTTCCTGCTGGCTTCAAAGTCCTTCCCAGTCCACGTGGGACTGGCAGTGCCAGGCAGGCCCCAAGGGCAAGGGGCACCCACAGCCCCACGGCCAAGGCAGGCCTGGCAGGGGGGCCAGCTGGGGCAGGGCTGGCCGGAGGGGTCAGGCTGGAGCTGCCCTCAGACAGGGTCAGGGGCACAGTGCAGCCCTGGGCAGCCGTGCTGGCAGTAGGGCAGTCAGAGCAGGAGACACTTAGCTGTGGAGGTCTCCAGCCGCTGCCCAGCTCAGGGACCCCTGGGGCCGGCACAGCACTGGGGTCCAGGCCAGAGCCCCCGGGAGATGTAGGACAGAGCGCCTCTGGCCCCAGACCTGACACTCCCTGCCTGCTCCAGGCTCTCCTGGCTGAGCGCAGGTATGGTGAGGGACCAGGCTCCCTTCTACCTGCCCAGGCTGAAAATCCAGCCCTGTCTGGGGTAAAGACTACTAGTCTGTGGCACTGGAGGCCTCTACCTGGGGACCTGGTGCTGGGGGATGCAAGAGCTGCCCTGGGGCATGGTCACCCCATGCCCTCTCAGCCCCCTGACCAGCCCCGTGGTTTCTGGAGGCACAGCTGTCCCATGGGGTCCTGCAGCCAGCAGTGCCCAGACCCCAATATGCCTGATCCGTGCCCTCCATCTGTGCAGCACGGGCTTACGGCTACCCCCAGCCCCTGTGCCATGAGGTGCTGCGTGTTGCAGGGCGATGGCCACGCAGTACTTCCCCTACAAGGGTGTCCTCTTCCCCTGCTTTGATTACTCACCCGAGACCCTCAGCTATGTGGAGAGCCAATTCCAGGTGCGGGATGATGACATCTTCAATGTCACCTACCCCAAGTCAGGTAGGGACCAGGCTGGAGGGGAACCCAGGTGCCTGGACTCCAGCCAAGCTCAGGGAGGGGAACGGGGTGCAGTGGGTGCAGGGCAGGGGTCATTCCCTTTCCTCCAGGCACCAACTGGATGCTGGAGATCCTGAGCCTGATTCGGTGTGACGGGGACCCCAGCTGGGTGCGCAGTGTGCTGAACTGGGATCGGGCCCCCTGGATCGAGACCAAGACTGGGTTGGCAACTGCCCTGAAGTACCCACCACCCCGGCTGCTCACCTCCCACCTGCCCCTCCAGCTCTTTCCCAGGTCCTTCCAGGGCTCACAGGCCAAGGTGAGGGCCAGGACTGTGGGTCTGGCATGTGGGGCACTAGCAGAGTGGGCAGGTGGCTCCAGCTCCTCTGTGACCTGACGAGAACGAGTCAGCTTCCCTGTCTTGTCCAGTTCAGCCCCAATCTCTCCCCCACACCTCCGGGCCAGGCCAGGCCCTGCAAGGCTGGACCAACCCAGCTTGTCCATCAGAACAGTCCGCAGAGCTGCCCAGTCCCTCCTGGCTCTGCTCTGAGCCCATCTCCTGAGACTGGGAACCAGCCTTGCCCCATGGGGCCAAACAGAGTCTCCCCTTACGGCGCTGGCATTGTCCCCAGACCCCACCATGTCCTCCTTGCCTCTCCCCAGGTCATCTACACCCTGCGCAGCCCCAAGGATGTGCTGGTCTCGCTCTACCACTTCTCCAAGGTCCTGCGCCTCTACAAGGACCCCGGGCCCATAGACACCTTCCTGCAGGACTTCCTCAGCGGCAGCTGTGAGCAGTAGCGGGGCCCTGCTTGTGCCCAGCAGGGCTGCTGCGGACCCCGTCCCCGCTCCCTGCCTCTCGCTCCAGCTCTCCCCGGCCCTTCTGCGGTGGGGCTGGCTCCTGTCTCACCCAAGGGGAAAGCTAGGGCCAGGCCAGGCGGCTCCAGGTTGTGGGTGCCCCCCCAGATTCTGCCTCTCCCTGCAGTGCCCTACGGCTCCTGGTTTGACCACGTGGCTGGCTGGCTGGGTCTTCGGGGCCACAAGAACTTCCTCTGCATCACCTACGAGGAGCTGCAGCAGGTAGGACCAGGGGATGCCCTGTGTGGCCCCGTGGCTGTCGGGGGGAGGTGCCCTGGGCCAAGGCTCTACGGCTGTTTCTGGTGCAATGGAAGAGATACCCCCGGAGGCCAGCACAGCCCCTCCCCAAGGAGCCCTCCGATCCCCTTCCCCTGCCCCATTTGCTGCTCTGCTTTCTTCTCCCTGCCCTGTGCTCCCTATCTCATCTGCTGTTCTGCTTTCTGCTCCCTGCCTGGTCTGCTGCTCTACTTTCTGCTTCTTCTCCTACCTAATACTGAGCTGTCTGCCCCCTTCTTAATGTGCCCCATGACACCGGTGCCACCTCTGGCCACCCCTAGAGGGAAGTACAGGGGACAAACACCTGGCCTTGGCGGGTGGATGTGGCCCGTAGCGCTGCCCACATGGATACCAGCCTGCCAACAAATCTGTGGGGTTGTTCAGTGGTCGGCATGGCCCTCGGTGGCCAGGGGCACACAAGGAGTGCATGGACACAGCCCACACTGACCCCATAGCCCTTGTACTGCCTCCACCACTCTGTGCCCTGGGCAGATCTTCCCAGGGGCAGGAAGGGGTCTGAGGCCTGGGTTTCCGGTGCTGGTGTCAAATGTGTACCTGGGTTGTCCCCACCCTGGCCATGTGCTTCTCCATCACAATAGTTCTTTCCCTTGACAAAAGTTAAACTTTCTCTGTTGGGCCCTGCACCCCTCTGCTCATGCCCTGGTTCTGGCACCAGACTGAGCTCTCCCTTGAGGGTTCAGCCCTCTCCAGACTGACCCGGCCTCTCCCCTCCAGGACCCATGGGACAGCGTGCGAAGGATCTGCCACTTCCTGGGGAAGGAGCTAAGTGAGCAGCACATCTCTTCAGTGGTGGAGAACGCCTCTTTCCAGACCATGAGGGGGAACAAGATGTCCAATGTCTCTCAGCTGCCAGACGAGTACATGGACCACTCAAAGGGGCAGCTCCTGCGGAAAGGTGAGCCCCAGGCGGGGGCCATGGGGGCTACTGCTCAGGAGCGAGAGGCATTGATGGGACATGTCTGGTCTGGCAGGGTCAGGGCTGAGGGGCAGAGCTGAGGGCGTGGAAGCCCAGGACTGGGCCGGAGGGGGCTGCAGGCCACCACTGACCTGAAGCTATGGGGGCCCTGGGGTGTGACTGGGGTCTGGTCTCTCATGTCGCTCTCTGGCTCCTCAGGGGTCTGCGGGGACTGGAAGAACCTGCTGTCGGAGGAGCAGAGCCGTCGTGTCGATGCTGCATACCAGGAGTGGATGCAGGCGCTGGACATCACCTTCCCCTGGGACTGATGTCCCCATGGGACGCAGCCTGTGCCCATCCCCATCCCCCGGAGGAATCACCAGCTACTGGAGTCTCAGTGAGCATGCAGGGGCTGGAAGCTCCCCCAGGGAGGTGCCAGGTCTGGGTTTGCCTCCCGTCTGTCTGGGTCCTTTCCCGGCCATAAGAGTATCCACCAAGAACCAGCAGAGTTGGCCACTGGTGAATGCTGGTGGACCCAGCACATGGCCCCAGCTGCTCCAAGCCTACCGCACATACGGCGCAGCGGGTTTGCCCAGCCCAGCCATGGGCCACGGCCCTGACACAGGCATCACCAGCACCAGTGTCTTGTGCTGGGGTCCCCACAGCTTCTCCTGCCCTAAGCATGAAGGGAAGCCCTCGGGCCCCACCCTGGGACTAAGGGACTTGCTTTGTGCGATGGGGCCTTGGAATAAAGAGTGTGCCTGACTTTTTTTTTTTTAGGACATTGGTTTTATTAGAAAGTAAAACAGACATTTAACAACCATTTAGATAAGGCAGCAGAGACGCAAAGACATCCTCAGGCCTGGGGTGGATGGTGTAGGCCAGACCCCAACACCTCAGAGCCTTTTTCCACAGCTCAAGCCCACAATTTCCTACTTCCCCACATTTACAGTCATTGATTAATACAGTCAATTATTAATGGCATGCATTTATTCACAACCACATTGGGTACACAGTTATGAAAGGGGTGGATCCTGGAGACCTTCTCCCCCAGCTAAGTAAGGGATTTACGATATAACGCCTGTGCATCTAGCATGGCCTGGGGTGTTATCACTTAGGCTTGGACCCTTGACAAGGAGAGCTGTTCCTCTGGTTCTTCTTCCCACATCCTTGCCATGAATTAGGTGTTTTTCCTGAATCTGAGGTTGTGATGACAAAGGATTTTACAGAATTCAGCAGGCTTGTTGCAACCCAAGAGGGCCACAACATGAACAGGTCTGCTATGGCCATTATGGCTGTGGATAACGGGCTTTAATTGCTTCATCTGTGTCACTATAGTCAGCCGCCTAAGTCAGTGCTTTCTTGCCTCTGTCAACCAAACCCGGCAGGCCTGGCTTTCCACCAGGTTACCCAAACTTCACTCCAACCCTTAGGGAATGGAGGCTGTGTCCAAGACGGGGGCACTCGAGGCAAGGTCTCTGGTGTGCTCCTTACAGAGCAGACCCCAGACACCCCCATGTGTCTGGGTGTCTGGGCACCCTCTCCACACGGCACCCTCGGGATCTCTCCCCCTGTGTAAATGCCTATCCTGCTGGTGTCCCTTCAGGTGACTGGCCTGGTGTGTACCAGAGCCACAGGTGCTGGGCCTGGCCGAGGACAACTGCAGCATGCAAACTCCTTGGCCGAGGTTCAGGGAACTTACTGGCCCTGGCGGCGTGAAGGGAGCCAACAGGAAGGCAGCCTCTGGGCTGGGATCTCTGCACTTCTACGCCTGGAGAGCCCTGAATGTCTGGGACGTTGGTGCCCAGCCAGGGCTGGAGCTGGTCACACTGCCTGGAGTCAGTAGCCTCTGCTGCCTGTGCTAAGACCTCTGATTTTGTGCCTCTTTGGAGTGGGGACAGAGGCACTATCCCCTCTGCACTAGCTATGGGCGCTCCCAGCCAAGGTTCAGGTCTTTCTGCTCCTCCAGGGCCCCTTCAGCAGTGCCAGCAGACACAGACGGTGCATCATGCACATCCTACTCTCCTGGCCCCAGGCACTTCTCTGTACCGACTCAGAGAATTTGCTCCTTTTTATCCATGGGTTTAACCTCTGGAAGCTGTGCACCCACCGGGCTCACCCCCGTCCCCGTTTCTTTCCTGCTGTTACTACTCAGGACCTTTCCCAGAGCTCTTCTGCAACACGTTGCACTCATGCATTTGCTGCCTTTTCTGCATGCATGTAACCCTCCCCCAGCACCAGGGTCAGGCGCTATACCAGATTCAAATCCTCAGGGTGTCAATAGCTTTGGGCTCTTCCCCAAGTAGCTCGGCTGGCTGAGGTGTCCCGCCAAAAAGGGAGGTGTGTTCCTCACTCTCACCTTCCCAAGAATCCACCCCCGCCTAAGTAACAGATAGGGATCTTTATTTTAGCTCTAACTATTTACAGAAAAGAACAGAAAAGACTAGTAACAAATATAATACACATATATACATAAGTGCATTACATAGGTTCAACAACACCCATCAAAACCCATAACCAAAATATCTATAAACCCAACATTACTGAATAGTCCATCCAACAAGTAATCCCACATACAACAGCCCTATCAAGATATGTCCATTCACAGATTATAGACTCTAAACCTCAGTTCCACTAGGAATTCAGTTCACTCTAATAAAAATTAATGGCAACACTGCTGTTGCTGTGAGTGGTCACCAGCTAGCAGTGCGCTCCTATAGGCACCTGAGAAGTAGGGTGCACGTTCCCAGTGCTTTCTTTCAAACAGAAACCTCTGTCTGGACAGCAAAAACAAGCACCTTACAAGCACTACGAGGTTAAATGCCTCCCCACCTTCCCTTTCCTTGTGAAACTAGGGCTGCTTAATAGTCACTGCCTCCCTTTACCAGCAGGTCTCCTGTTCCTGCAGCCTAAACTCTCCCACAGCTCTGACCCAGCCGCAAGCACAGACTGCCCTTTCCCGGGGCACTTGAGTCCTGAGTTTGCACAGCTCCTCTCCAAGGTAGGGGACTCAGCTCCTTTATGAGCACCACAGCCTATCCATCTTTCCTGGCGTGTTGGCTTTCCAGAGCAGGCTTTCCATCCCCTCCCTGGGTGGAGAGACTGTCCCAAACCTCTCCCTCAAGTTGGGAAACAGCTCCTTCCCACCTCCCTCTTTCCCACTGTCTGCTGTGTTTATATCCCACACGCAGCCAACCAGACCCCTCCGTTGTGTTGGCAATCCAATCAGCTACATGCAGATTTTTAGGCTTGCACCTTTTCAGAGGTCCCACATGCAAGCCCCTTCCTATCCTTTCTGAAAAGGCTGTAGCATTGCTTCCCTGCTCAGCCTGCTGTCTCCGCAGCTGGGCAGCTGTTACATGCACATTGGGGGATTTGGTCTTGCAGTAGAAGAGAAGATGCCAAACAGAAGGGCCACACCGGGGTGGGGAGAGGGGTCCTGTTCTGCTCTGTGCTGCGGGTGTCACCAGCCTGCCTGTGTAATGTTCTGTGCAAGTTCATTTTAATAGAAAGGTGTGACAGCAGAGGGAGCTGACAACTGAATGCGACATGAAACTACAGCTCCTGGACAGCCTGGAGGCAAGGCAGGAAGCAGTGAAAAGCCCAGGAAAGCTGCAGCAGGGCGCAGGTCTGAGTGGCAGGGCGAGAGCAGCCAGAGGCATCAGAGCAGCGTGAGACCAAGGATGGTTGGGCTGTGGCAGCAGGCCCGAGATGTGCAGATGGTAACTGAGAGCACTCTCAGGACTCAGGCTGGTTCAGTGGCGAACTGACCGCTGGGAGGGCAGGAAGGGGCCATTGCCCCCAGGGACTGGCCCTGGAGTGGGGCACCAGCCGGGCCCTTCAGAGTCCTTATCGCACGACATGACTTTAAGTATTGCTATGAGAAGGATGGGGAGGCTGTGGGGAGAGAGGGTTGCAAATGCAAGCATTGGCTCCCAGGCACTGGAGACCCATGGTACATCACAGGGCTGGTTTAGGCACCTCTGGAGGTCTGGGAGGACACGGAGTTACTGAATGTTTGCACCACGGGGCCAGCACATGCTCTGTTACCAGTCCCCAAGTGAAAAATGCCACTGTACACCTCTTGTTATCTGTTATTTAATGCATCACCTCCCTTAGTATCTCACAGCCGGTAGTCCACTCAGCACCCTTTACTGGGGACTACCAGGACTGGGATGACGGGTATGACCAGTATAAAAAGGCAGCTAACCTCAGTGGGTGGGATGGCACCACTGAGCTTGAGTCCCTGAGCCTGTTGCTTACTGGAAGAGCCAGGGATACCTACTGTGGGCCCAGCCAAAAAACCAGTGCTTGATAAGGGCCTTCAAGAATGCTCTGCAACCTGAAGATCTTGCTCGGGACCATGCCATTTTCTTTAACCATAAGAGGATGGCAATGGAGTCAGCACAAGAGTTCAGCCTGGTCCTAAGGTGTGTAGTCATCAAGGCATCTCAGAGGTACCAGACAGGCTGGCTCCCAACCACTTTGTCAGCCATGCCTTCACTGGGGAGTCATAGGGTCAATTTTGGCAGGAAAAGTCCCAGAGTCTGGATGAGGCCATGAAACAAGCCACCAAGACAGCTGGTAAAAAGCTGGGGCTCTAGGTACCCACAACACTGAGGCAAGGGTAGATGAACATGCCAAGGAGGAAAAGTCAGTGGTGCATGTTCCAAACATCAGCTTCACAAACACTGGGGTGAACGGCACCAGCTCAAGAAGTGTATGGAGGCCTAGCCCTACGGCAGACCCCCAGGCCCCTCTAGGCCACAGCGACTAAGGTCCCATTCAGAGGCTCTGCTGGTGCTGCAGCAGCCCCGATCACTTCTGGAGGGAAGGCCCAGAGAGAAGGCGGCATTCTGGGTGGGGAAACTGAGGCAGGCAACAGAGAGGGACCCATCCACAGCTTGTAAACCCAGGGGCCCACAGCATGAGGTTGTTATTGGTGTCATATGCCTAGAGCGAAAACTAGGAAGGGTTCTGTGCCAATTCCTCCTGGAGTCAGGCGCCCCACAAACCTTTGTATGCAGTGGGAAACAGGGACAAGCTACAGCAGCGACCTTCAACCCCATGGGCCAGTGGTCAAAGCAGCCAATGGGAAAGCGCTCTGCTTCTTGGGAGTATAGCCATGGACTATCAAGGAATGTCCATTCCTTGTGGTGACAGGTTCCCATCAGGACACCTCGTTAAGCACTGGTTTTCTCAAGAAATTCCAGGTCACTATGACTTTTGCACACTGCTCTTGTTCCCTTCTAGGAGAGTGTTTCCCCTGTGCATCCCCAAGGCCGGACTGGAGCATGGGAAGTCTCAGTGGGCACAAATCTAACAATCTCTCCTCAAAGCAAGACCAGCTGAAGAGATGGTGTCGGGGAGATGCCAGGGGCTTGCAAGCCTCAGGAAGCGTTAGGATTGCTGGTGGCAGCTTCAACCGGCAAAAGCCGCAGCGGTGAAATGCCAGCGCGAGTTGCCTGTGTATCGACAGAGCCTCACGTCGCCTACCAAGGTACCATAATGGGGACATTTGAGCCTGGAGCAGCTGTGCAGCATTCAGACCCGGGGTCAGAGAACTCGGTCACTACAAGGGTACTGAGCTCAGCCCAGAACCAGCACCTGGGAGAACCAGGGGGTCACCTCCCGTGTGCAGCTCCCCGGTCACACATTTGTATCCCAATTACTGCATGTACAGTTTTGGTTCGTCAGCCCAGCTCGCCCTTCTGTTGCTGCAGTGGGGGAGGAGGAGCAGTGCAGTGTGGGATGCATGGAGGACCAACCTAACCCCTGCCATGGAGCGCGTAGTATCCACACGTACCACTGGGCCACTACACAGTAAACTCATTCTAGAGCTCTTGATTTTCCCAGCTGTGCTGTTGAATCCTTCCAGGGGGTTGCTTTGATCAGGTCCCTGCATCTTAGCCTCCAGGGCTTGACATGAGAGAGTGTTTTTGCCTGCAGGGAGATGCCTGTCCTTGTGCCCTGTGGTATTTTGCCTGCAAACATTAACCAGATCTTGTGCTCCAGGCAATAAAGTCGTTCAGTAATAAAGGACTTCAGGCTAGGGGAGTTCAACCTGCTCCTATCATTTTCACTCTCCTTTCCATAAAATATCTGACTCACATTTTATGCTCTCTTTGGAGCGCCATTGGTTGGAAAGGAGCAGACTTTTGCATCTTCCAGGTTAACCAAAGTACACCGGTATACCTGTTCCATCTATTTTGGTTAGTCTATAAGGTGCACATCCTCCACTTCAAGCTAACACCACCAGCTATGTCTCTGCTTAAAGACTAAAAGGTGCAGAAAGCCTCCAAGAGCTGCTCAGCATTTGGGGGGTCTGGTCTGTGGGAGCTTCCCCTGACCAGCATATACATCTCCTGCATCATCCTTGCCCACCCCTCCACCCTGTCTACTTGTCCCCCCTCACTCTCAGTTCTTCCCTGTCCAGTTTCTTCTCACCACGAGCTGCCCTCCAGCTCCCCATGGTCCCCTCCCAGCCCATGATCATTTCTAGACCACATTTGTTGTGTCCCCTGATGCCACCTTATCATGACCTGTCCTGGATTTGGCCGAAGGGCTCTGGCTTAGGACCCCCAGCCTTAATGCCATCTTCCTGAGCTCCCCTGGGCCAGCCCAGGTGAAGGGGATCATTGCTGAGCACTGCACATGAGCTTCATTTCTTTTATTGGCAAGCGGGGATGGGCCTGGCAGCATGTGGTGGCTGATGCATGTGGCAGTAGGTGCCCCTACCTGCAGGCTCTCTGTCACTTCAGTAAGATGCATCATAGTTTCTGGATGCTGGCTCCCCACCCTTGGCTGCAGGGTTTTTTAAGACCTGGTGCTGGGTTGCCTTTCAGGCACCAGAGACTGCAGGAGTCTGGACGCCAATGAGGCCTAAGTGCAGCCATGCTCCAGTGTGTCGTGGGAGAAACCTCCCTAAGGTTCGTTGTCTAGCTGTAATTTGATTGACAGACAACGCGGGTAAAGAAAGACAGCTGTTTATTTGCTCGAGCAAAGACCATAAAGCCAGCAAAAGGCAAAATGGCCCCCCCCTAAGGGTGAGGTGACCTTTTATACTTATTACAACAAGGCAAGACTTTATGGTTAACAAAAAAAGCAATACTTGGGCGGTGCTTTTCAAATCTTTGTAACAGCATATTTCTATTAAGCTGAACTAGCACTTTTAAAAGCTAAAAGTTAAGTAACAGTAACATTATAATATGTTAGCAAAACCTTACACAGTAGTAGATACTTCTCAAGGACACAACCAGTGCACCCAGAACAATGGCTTCCCTCTCTTATCTTACTTCTTGCTGTAGCTGATTTTTCAGCACACAGACACAGATCCACTTTTTAACTCAGAAAATGCTTAATACAGTTAAAATGATTACTTGACACAAGCAAAGGCTTAGCTATCAATCTGCCTTGTGGTCAGTGGCATTGCTAGGCCACAGGTCATGCCTTGTATTCAGCTGTAAAGCTAATACTTCCTAATAATCTAAATTATTGTAAACCTAACAGTATGCTATCAGAAAACTATTCTATTTCAGGGTAATAACAAACCTGCGCACTACAAGTGGGTCTTCGTAGACATATGATTCTCATTCCCAGGGCAGTGAATCCATGAGTGCAAAGCCTCCTGGGTCTACTTCATGATTGTTCTTTCCCAGTGTTCAAAACGGGAACTGAGGCACGCAGGATTACAGAAACATAAACACTTTACCCAGAAATACTCCAACCAGTCCCATCATCTGCCATGGGATCCCTCAGTCAAAAGGCCTGGTCCCTCCACCTCTGAGCCCCCAATCACTGTTCTCACATCCTCTATGGGGTGTCTGGGAGCTACTTGATTGTGAAGAATAAACAGGGTCAATATGGGATTGCCCTTGGCCTGGACACACAATAATCCTGCTTCTTTGAGCCTTTCCTTCTAAGCCATCCATGAGGGGGAAGCATTATATGGAGGGGACCGGGAGGGGTCAGGGCTGAGATGCTGAGGGGTTTGTGGGGAGAGGCTTGTGGTATTTTGCCGGGTGAAATGGCAGGAAGGGAGAGGTCAGGTCGGAGGTATGATGAGCTGAAATGAGGGGCTGGGAAGGTGCGGAGGAGGGGTCTGAGCCATGTCAAGCCTAGGGCTGTGTATGGGGGGGAAGGAGGTGCTGGGTGGGCCAGTCCCTGGGTGGTGTAGGAGAAACTGGGGTGATACAGGAGAAACTGTAACAATTTCCCCTTGTTAGCTCACTCACCCCAAGTCACCCCAGCTGGGACTTGAACTCACATCTCCCACATGGTAGGTAGAAACTCTGGTGGCTTGTCTTGGCCTGCAGGGAGTCTGGGGCTCCTCTGTAGTCTAGCAGGGGATGTTGGTGCTCCAGAGTCTGCACCCCCAACCCATGCATCCTGCAGGGCAACACAGGGCCCCTCCCTCTGGGCACCCAGGAGCAGGGTGGCTGCGGGGGTCACGGCTCTGGCAGGTGCTTGCAGGCACCAGGAGCCCTTTGGGCATAGCCGACCTTGACCCTGGGTGTTCTCGGGTGCAGAGGCTGGGAGCAGGACCGTCTGGGAGAAAAGTGAGGCAGGGAGAGAAGCCCCCCCCCCCCAGTCAGGAGCTGCTGCAGGGTGCTGGGAAGGAGGGGTGGGGGCATGGAGGCTGCCTTTTAGGGAGGGGCAGTGGGGGAGGGGCATCCTGGCAATAGGGGAAGGTCACCACCGCAGGGTTAATGTTGGCGCCACCCCTGGGGAGTGGCAGGGTCAGGTGCCAGGTGCTGAGTACAAGGTGCAGACTAGACAGAGGGGCTGGGGCCAGGGCAGTCTGCAGCTGGTGAGTCGTTGGCAGGGGGTGCAAATGGGAGCCATTTAGCCGTGGGGGTGCCCAGCTCTGGCCCCTGGGCCTGTGCAGCCCTGGGGACCAGGTCCTGCCAGTGCCAGAGCCAAGGGGTGCAAGGGGCATGGGGAATTGGCCCCCTGTTCTGGAAGCTGGTGAGGTTTGTGGCCCAGGACCAGCCCAGCCCCTGTAGCCCCTTCCCCCTCCCTGGGATTTGCTTTGCTCCCCTCCTGCCTGCTTCTTCCTGCTGCAAATGCAGCTATACCCAGGGCGAAGTCCAGCAGCTGCAACAGCTGCCTGGGGAAATCCAGGCACCTCCCCCAGAAAGGCTCAGGGCAGCTAAAGATAAAGCCACTGATAATAGCTGAGAGATCACAATATGGGGATCCCTGCATGCAGCCAAACACCCCTAGACCTAGCCTGGTTCGGACAGGGAGGCCTCACGCCCTCGCTCCCGGGATGTCCAGCCTTGCCCCATGGGGAGGAAGGGCCAAGCTGCAGCCACGACCTCCCAGGAGTCTGGCAGGAGGCTGCTCTTGGGGTGACCGGTGTTGGCTGGACCCTGGACCCCCAGAGGTGCCTTCACCAGGGGGAGGAGCAGAATGCCTCAATTCAATGCAGCAGCCCAGGTTGGTCCTGGGCTGGGGAGACCTGGAGGGTGGGAGCTGCACTGGGTGGACAGTGTAACCTCAAATGGTGCTGCCCTGTGGGGAGCAGCTCTCGGCCATGGAGGCTTCCAGAAGCTGGAGCCTGCTGGAATGGCCTCCCCTTTTCTTATTCAGATTCATAAAGTGCAGTCCAGCCTTTGGCATCTTTGCAGCTCACCCCACGCCACCTTAGCGCTTTTTTTTCATGTTTGTGTTAATGACCCCAGGGCTGTGATACTAAAGGTGCCGCTAACAGGGAATCCTGGGCAATGAGGGCTGCAAGGGACCTTGCACATCTAGTGCAACCCCCTGCTTTAAGCAGGACCGGCCCCACTAGACCATCGCAGCAGGGCTTTGTCGAGCTGTGAGTTGCAGCCAGGAACACCTGGAAGCCAGTGCAGTCCCTGGAGCACAGGTCTGTGTGCACCTGGAGACCCAGCCCTGGGAGAACACAGGCACCGTGTCCTGCAGCAGTCACTCAGCACTCTCCTGGTCCCCAGAGCTGCAGCCCAGCGCCCTGCTGCCAGCCACCCAGTCCCAAGACCCTGGCTTGTGTTGCAGGGCACGATGGCCACTGAGTACATCACCTACAAGGGCATGCTCTTCCCCCTCTTGGACTACTCCCCAGAGACCATTAGCTACCTGCAAAGTGAGTTCCAGGTGTGGGATGACGACGTCTTCAATGTCACCTATCCCAAATCAGGTAGGAATTGGGCTGGGGGCAGGGGTGGGGAAAGAAGTCTGGATGCCTGGGGTCCAGCCCAGCTTGGGGAGGGAGCGGGGGGCAGGGGATGAAGTCTAGGGGGGATTCTCAACTGTTTTCCCCCCAGGCACCAACTGGATGCTGGAGATCCTGAGCCTGATCCGCTGTGATGGGGACCCCAGCTGGACACGCAGCGTGCTGAACTGGGATCGGGCCCCCTGGATCGAGTCCAACAACGGGCTGGAGGTGGCCCTGAAGTACCCGCCACCCCGGCTGCTCAGCTCCCACATGCCTCTCCAGTTCTTCCCCAGGTCCTTCCAGGGCTCACGGGCCAAGGTGAGGGGCAGTTGGTGCAGGTCGGAGCTTCCTGAGAAGAGGGGGGTCTCCTCAGGATAGGTACAGCAGTGTCTACACTGTACATGTGGATGTACTCTGCACATCCAATGTTGGGTCACGAGGGAAGATATTCAACAAGATCAGGCCCAAGAGGATCCTGGAGGGGCTCCCTTGAGCCTGGCACTGCCCAAGCCCCAATCCTTTCCCCACACTGCAGCTTCACCCTCAGGGAACAAGCTGGATTTTGCCCTTGGGGTAACCTTGCACCCCCAGGAAATCTTGGTCTCCCCAGACCTTACAGAGGAGCCCTACAGCCATATGGGAATTCACTCCCAAGGTCCACAGTATTTGGGAGCTGCTGTTTCCATGGAATGAAACACTCAAAGGTGTCAGTCACTCAGGGATGACTCTGCCCATCCAGGCCAGGACGGGTGGTGTGGCTTTTAGAGCAGGAGCTCCAGCCCCTTCCCATGCAGTGAAATCCATAACTAGGATAGAAGAGAGGTTATCAGGACCACGTTGCCAGGCACTCAGGGACCATGGGGCACATGGCAAGGGCAACCCTAGCAGGGACCGTAGGAAGGTTTCCCCTGCAGGCACCAACCCCAGGTCCTCTTTCCCAGGTCATCTACACCCTGCGCAGCCCCAAGGACGTGGTCACTTCCTACTACCACTTCACCCACATCATGCATGCATTTAAGGACCACGGGCCCCTGGACGCCTTCCTGCAGGATTTCCTGAGTGGCAATGGTGAGCAGTGCCATGGGGTTGCTCTGCACAGCCAGAGACGTGCAGGACTGTCCTTTTCTGCAACCGAGGGAGAACCCAGGTGTCCTGGCTGCTCTCTGGGAAGGCTGGGGCTGGGCAGGGCAGCTTCAGGTGATTGCAGCCACTTCCTCTCCCTGCAGTGCCCTACGGCTCCTGGTTCGACCACGTGGCTGGCTGGCTGGGCCTGCGGGGCCAGGACAACTTCTTCTACATCACCTATGAAGAGCTGCAGCAGGTAAGCCTGCAGGCACAGCCAGCCTGGGCCCCGATGTCCATCACGAGTCCCCAAGGCTGCTTCTGGTGTCATACAGGAGGCCAGCCCAGCCCTGCCCAACCCTGGCAGGGAAGGTGTAAGGTGCTGGGTGAGACACGTACCCATGGAGCCCTCCTCATAGCCACTGGGTCCATCTCCCCCAGGCACCCCACCACTCTGCAGGCCTGATACGTGGGTTCAACCCTGCTCCCCCCTGTCCCCTCCAGGGTGTATCTCTGGGTGAGACATCCTCAGCTCCCTGAGCAGTGCAGGGCCAGGGGGAAGCTGAGACCTTGGCAGGGACCAAGCCAAGGAGCTTCCTGAGAGCCAACGGGGCAAGAAATGCTGGAAAAGACAAAGTTCTGTGGCTTTGCCACCCGATGAGTCGTCTGGGCAGCACAGACCGTCCCTCCCAGGGACAAACCCGTGCAGACTGGCTTCTGCACAAGGGTTTTCATATCCAACTTGATGTCGGAGTGAAAGGAGGAAACAGACAGAAAAAGGTGCTGAGCTAGTGCTGAATCAGTGAGAACTTGGGGAAATAAGGCAACTGGGCCCATTGAAACAGTTGTGACTGTAAAAGAAAGAGACCTCCTTCTTTTCAGTGTGTGAAAAACCATAATTCACCTGATCCTCCTCCCTCCCTTTCTGCTTCAACTGTCAGGGGCATTTTAAGCCTCCCCTAGGGCCACTGGGTGCTGGCTGCAGCCCAGGTTGGGGATGGGGACTGGGCTGTGCCAGTGGTCCTGCTGGGACCCACCCTGCAGGGTCCTGGCTAGAGGGTCTTGCCCCTGTGCTCAGGCTCAGCCCAACGCCATACTGTGGGCAGGAAGGGATTTCCCCCCTGCTCAGACTGGTCCAGACTGGGGGGCATGGCTTCGGCCTGGGGTCTCTGGAGAGTTCATGAACCACCCCCACCCCTAGGCAGCAGCAGGACATTGGTGGCCACGGCCCCACTGCTCTCCCAGGGGCAGGGGCAATGGTGATGCCTGGGGCTTTGTCGGGGTGATGATTGTTTTATTAAGGGCTTAGATGATGGCTTGTCTGGGCTGGTTTGGACAGGGCTGATCCTGCCTCAGGCCGGGGTTAGACTGGATGTGACCCTGCAGGTCTCTGACAGCCCAGCTTCTCCATGATTTTATCACTTCCTGGCCCCACATGAGCCCCCTGACACACTCATGTCTCATGCACCCTCTGATCCAGTGTCTCCCCCCAGGACTTGCGGGGCAGCATACAGAGGATCTCCCACTTCCTGGGGAAGGAGCTGAGTGAGCAGCAGATCTCCTCGGTAGTGGAAAACGCCTCCTTCCAGACCATGCGGAGAAACAAGATGTGCAACTTCTCGGAGGTACCGGACAAGTACATGGACCACTCGAAGGGGCAGCTCCTGCGGAAAGGTGAGCTCTGGGCTAGTGCACAGGAGGGACGGACCTGCCAGAGCTGTGGGGGGACCTGGGCCTGGGTTGCCAGGGGCTGCAGATCAGGAGTGAGGGGCACCCCAAGACTGCAGGGGCCCTTGAGACTGCATCAAGCTCAAGGCAGCTTACAGCAAGCGTGAGATCGAGGATATGGAAGAAGATAAAAGGTGCCAGTGACACAAAGAGCAATAAACTCGCTCTCAATGAGGCCCCCAACTTAATGGTGGTGCCAGAAGATTTCAGATTATAGGGTCAGAAGGGACCTATTAGATCATCAAGTCCGACCCCCTGCCCTGGGCATGAAAGAGCGCTGGGTTCAGGTGACCCCAGCCATGTGCTTTTCCAATCTCCTCTTAAGTACCTCCAAGGAAGGGGGCAGCACCACCTCCCTTGGAAGTATACAGGCAGTCCTTGACTTACGGCGATTCACACTTGCGGTGCTCCACCATTTACACCCATGTTCTTACTTATGGCGCTGGATCCTCGCACTTACGGCGCTACAGGGAAATTTACAATTAGAAAAAGAGGGCAGCAAAACAAATCTCCCTGGATCAGTTCCTCAAAAAGCCATCAGGTGGCCCTAAGTCTCCCCAAAATCTCCCCAAAGAAGCCCTTCTGAATTCCATGACCCCGATGAAGGTGTTCCTTCACCTTCTGGTTAAATAAATGTTATGTGGTTAGTCACTGTATTGCCCTGTTTAATCGATTTATATACAGTACTCTTTAGAAAGCTTTGTACTGTGCAGTGTATATCATTTAAAGTTGATTAAATAGTTGATTTAAATATGATGTTTATGGTCATTTCTATAAAAAGTTGGGCATCAGGCCCTTGATCAGGAACATAACCCCCCCATTATAACATTGTTTCTATGGGAAAATCAGATTCGGCTTGCATCATTTCGACTTACAGCGCCTTTTCCAGGAACATAACCTGCCGTAAGTGCGAGGACTGCCTGTATTCCATATTTTGGCAACCGTCACTGTAAATCATTTTTTCCTGATGTCCAGCCTAAAGTTGTTCTCCTTCAGTTTGTGGCCATTGCTTCTACTTACCCCGATGGGTGCCCTGGTAAACATCATATCCCCTATTGCCTGCTGTCCCCCCTGATGAGCTTGTAGACGGCCACAAGATCACCTCTCAGCCTTCTCTTGTGGAGGCTGAAGAGATTCAGGTCCCTTGATCAGTCCTCATAGGGTTTTTTCTGTAGGCCATTAACCAGATGGGTGGCCCTTCTCTGAACCCTCTCCAGGTTATCTACATCCCACCTGAAGTGCGGCACCCAAAACTGGACGCAGTACTCCAACTGCGGCCTGACCAGTGCCGCATAAAGGGGAAGTATCACCTCCCTAAACCTGTTTGTGATACACCTGCTTATGCAAGGAAGGGTGCGGGTATAGCTTTACTTCCTGCCTCACCACACTGGTAACTCATGCTCATTCTGGAGGCGACTCCGACTCCGAGATCCCTTTCCGCAGTTGTGCTACTTAAAATGGTCCCTCCCAGGCTGTAGGAGTGTTGATGATTCCTCCTCCCCAGGTGCAGCACATGACACTTACCTTTGTTAAACTGCATCCTATTCTGTTTCGCCCACTTCCCCAGCCTGTCCGAACCTGCCTGGATTTGCTCCCTGCCCTCTAGTTTGTGTACCTCCCCCCATAGTTTGGTGTCGTCAGCAAACTTGGACAGGGTGCTTTCTACTCCCTTGTCCAAGTCACTAATGAAGATATTGAATAGCACCAGTCCCAGGTCAGAGCCTTGGGGAACTCCGCTACCCACATTTCTCCAGGTAGAAACTGACCTATCCACCACCACTCGCTGGGTGCGTCTCATAAGCCAATTTTCCACCCACCGGACTGTGTAATAATCTACATTGCAACTGTTTAGTTTATTCATAAGGTTTGGGTGTGGCACTGTGTCAAAGGCCTTTTAAAAATCTAAGTATATTACATCTACCTCTGCTCCTTCATCCAAGCATTTTATGACCCGGTCGTAAAAAGAAACCAGGTTAGTCAGGCAGGATCTGCCTGCTTTGAACCCATGCTGGTTGCCCCTTAGCATTATTTTACCTGCTGGTCCCCACACAAATGCGACCCTTAACAATTTTCTCAAAGGTCTTGCCAAGGATAGAGGTGAGACTAACCGGCCTATATTTACCTGGTTCCTCCTTCATCCCCTTCTTGAAAATAGGGACCACATTGGCCCTTTTACAGTCCTCCAGGACGTGTCCTGAGCACCATGAGCGCTCAAACAGTCACGCCAGTTGTTCTGCTATGACTCCAGCTAATTCCCTAAGTACCCTAGGATGAAGACCAGCAGGGCCTGCTGACTTAAATACATCCAACCCCTCCAGGTGCTCCTTTACTAGGTCAGCGCTAACAATTGGTGGGTTGGTATCTCTCTTGCACTTACCTAAAGTCCCATTGGGATGCATGCTTGTATCCGTGTCCAGGAACACAGATGCAAAGAAATCATTTAGGAGCTCCGCTTTGGCCATCCTATCTGTTACCAGTTGCCCTAGTCCATCTTGAAGGGGCCCTATGGTACCCTGCACTTTCTTTTTGCTTCTTATGTATTTAAAGAATGACTTTTTGTTATCCTTAACTTTTGCTGCCAGCCTAAGCTCCATTTCCATTTCCACTTTGGCTCTCCTCACTGCTTCCCTGCAAGCAGACCTGGCTGCCTGTTCCTCCCAGCAAATGTCTCGGAAGTTGAGGTCACCCAGGACAACCAGGTCCTTTGAGCGCACTGCCTCTGAGAGCTGTCCCAAGAATTCCAGGTCTAACTTGTCCCCCTGGTGTGGGGGTCTGTAACAGACCCCCACTACCGAGTCCCTTTCTCTCCGACCCCACTGTAATCTGACCCGTACTACCTCAATTTGCCCTTGTTCTAGGCCCAACTTAACTACAGAAGATGTATATTGCTCCTTAACATAGAGAGCAAGACCCCCCCTATTCTGTCCTGTCTGTACAGCCTGTAGCCCTCAATGCCCACTGCCCCACCTGGTAGGGTCCCACCCGGTTTCTGTTAGCCCAACCAGGTTGAATTCTTTATTTGTAAGCAGGAGTGCAAGTTCCTTCTGCTTGTTCCCCATGCTCCTAGCATTAGTATAGAGACATCCAAGACCCACAACAGATGCCCAGGATCAGGGTGGGTGGCCCTGTTGCAGATCTGATGAGCTGCCCCCATAAGATGTGCAGGGCCTGGGCTATGCAGGGACTACTAGGTCCAACCCTGCAGCTTAGGGCACCCCTGGGAGGCTATCTGCACCCAGGGCATATGCAGGAGCATTATGTTCGTGTGCCCCTGGAGACCCATGGCGGGCAGAAAGCAGCTGCTGCATTCTGCACCAGCTGCAGTCTCAGGGGGGCTCCCTGGGCTCTGCCTACCTCTGTCCTGTCTGGATTCAGCTTCGACTTGTTCACTGCAGTCAAGCACTGGGAAAGGGAGGAAGGCTGCAGGGCTTGGGCTGGGTGACAAGGAGACAGAGCTAGGTGTCATCGGCTTGCTGGTGGCCCTGGAGCAGGAGACCCTTTGCTCTGCTTCTAGAGTGACAGGGAGGCTCAGGGCACAGCAGACAGTCTCTTGCCAGGAGAAAGAAGCTGCAGGCAAAGGTGATGAAGAGGCAAGTCAGAGCACTATGCACCTGGGGATGACAGTGGACAAGCTGAATATGAGCCAGCAGTGCGCCCTTGTTGCCAAGAAGGCTAACAGATACTAGGCTGCATTGGTAGAAGTGTTGCCAGTAGGTCCAGGGAAGTGATTATTCCCCTCTATTCAGCACTGGTGATGGCACATCTGGAGTCCTGTGTCCAGTTTTGGGCCCCCTGCTACAGAAAAGATGTGGCCAAGTGGGAGAACTGGCAACAAAAATGGTTCAGGGGCTGAGGAACATGACTTGTGAGGAGAGGCTGAAAGAACTGGGCTCATGTAGGCTGGAGAAAAGGAAACTGAGTGGGAATTTAATAGCAGCCTTCAACTACCTGCAGGGGGGTTGCAAAGAGGATGGAGCTGGACTGTTCTCCGTGGTGGCAGGTGACAGAACAAGGAGCAACTGTTTCAAGTTGCAACAAGGGAAGTTTAGGTCGGATACTAGGAAAGTCTCTCTCACTAGGAGGTGCTGGAACAGGGTGCCCAGAGAGGTGGTGGAGTCTCCATCCTGGGAGGTGTTTAAGACTCAGCTAGATAAAGCCTCTGCTGGGATGGTCTAGTTGAGGCTGGTCCTGCTTGGAGCGGGGAGGGGGGGTGGACTAGATGCGACCTCCTGAGGTCCCTTCCAACCCTCATCTACCATTTGAGGCCTTGGGGTGAAAGCGAGACTCACAATGTCCAGAAAGCTGGCAGAGAGCTGCCAGGCAAACACACGCTTAAGGACCTTCCCCAAAAGCGGGAGTTGGAGACCAGCTGCAGCTGTGTGGGAGCCAGGACCAAGCCATGGCTTTTGAGTAGCAGGCAGACAACCGCTGATTTAGAGGGTCTGCCCCCCGCTGCCCTGAAGAGAGGCACTGACGGTCCCCCAGGCTCTTCAAAGCCAGGGTAGGCAGGGTCCAGTTCAGCACTGGTCACCCACACAGAGCTGTCACGGTGGGTCTCTGGGGGGTGCTCCAGGGACTGGTCTCTCACCTCACTCCTGGCTCTGCAGGGGTCTCCGGGGACTGGAAGAACCTGCTGTCGGAGGAGCAGAGCCGCCGCATCGATACCGTGTACCAGGAGTGGATGCAGGGGCTGGGCATCACCTTCCCCTGGGACTGACATCTCCTCTGTGTGACCCCAGCACAGGTCTGAGCCCCCGCATAGCCCGGAGTGGAGCAGGGAACAGCAGAGGGGAGCTGGAATGGGGGATGGGGGATACCTACACAAACAAGCGCGCGCACACACACACACACATGCATGCACATACAAGCACACATGTATGCATGCATGCACAAACACGGACATACATGTACACATGCTCATACACGTGCAATGCTCAAAGGACACCCCGGAATGTGTATATACATACATGCATACATATGCATATACATACATGCATATGCACATGCACACATGAACACCCATGTACACATGCACACATGCACACCCACACCTACACATTTATATGTGTACACATGCACATACACACACACATTTGCACACATGTGCACACACACATCCACAAGTGAACACGTGCATGCACATACAAGCCCACATGTACACATACATGCACCCACATGTACATACACATACACATGCTTGCACACATGCACGTGCATGCACAAACACATGCACATACATACATGTGTGTGCACATGCAGACATACACATACATATCCATGCATATGCCTGTACTTATTCACACACACACAAACACACACATGCACTCGCATGTACACATGCATGCATGCACACCCCCCCCTACCCATGCACACATATATGCATACACACACACAGGCACCAGGAGTGTGGGCTGAAGCAGAAAACTGAGTGCCTCCCCTCCCCCACCTGCAAGACACTGCTACTAGCAGGGGGAGGCCGGGATGTGCCAGCTGCACCCATCTCTCCCCTCCATGCCCCTGCTGAGCGAGCCCAACTGAGTCTTCATCTTGGGGTCAGGCCCAGCTTGGAGCTAAGGCCCCACACCAGCACCCAGGAGCTGCAGCTTCTGTCCCCAACCCAGACCCTGCCCCTCTCCCCTTACCCAGGCTGCTTTTTCAGGGCTACCTTTGTGGGGCGAGGGTTCACAACCCAGGCCTGCCCCCAGGCACCCTCTCCTGTTCCTTGCACAAGTTGCAGTTGTTTCCGACTGGGGCATTAACAGCATCATGCCGAAGCTGGCTTGCGTGCCACTCAGCTTTGCCGCCTCCCTGCCTTATGACGTGGATGCACTCGCCGAATTTTATTTGTTCTAGCGTCAGCCAGAGCAAGCATGGAAGCAACAGCATGGCGCTGCGAGAAAGCCATGGGGAGGGACGGCTTCCAACTCTGTCTTTTAAGAGGAGGTTCAAACTAGGTGGAAGGTAGCGAGGAAGCCCTTTGACCCTGTTGACACAAGGTTCATAAACATCCTGGAGCCACAGGGCCTCACGGGACCTGTGGAGGTCACTGGTTCGACCCCTGCCTGAGGCAGGATCAGCCCCATCCAAACCAGCCCAGACACATCCACATTGCAGCCTCTTAGCAAAACTACTGCCCAGCCCTGTCTGCGTGAAGGGGCTCCTGTTTCCGGGGTGAGTGCCCATCCCTGTGCTCCGGGCTGGGTGACCGTCCACCCAGGTTTCACTGGGGCTGTTCCAGATCAAACGCCTGTCCCAGGTGTCCTGTCAGTTGGGGCCACTAGACAATGATGCACCAGGGGAAGGGTTTCAATGCCCCCGCTTCAAGCAAACCTACTGATCTCCTTTGCCGCACACCCTGCTGCTGCTCTCTCACGTGCTCACCTGAGCCCAGAGAGAGCTGCGCGCTCAGGAGAGCAAGGCTGGGAGACGAGGTCCCATGTGCAGCCCAGAGAAACATGGTATTGCGTATTGCTGGGGCCAAGACCCCACTCAGCCGCCTGCTGCCTCCTGCGTGTTCTGGGATTCAGCCTCTGGGACATGCATGCACAGCCAGTGCGGCGTGTCTCCAGGCTTTTCAACAGGCCACACAATTGTGTGTCCACACACTGGGAGCACAGAAGGGCAAACAGATGTGCCAGCACACTGCCTGCACAGCCAGGCCGGTGTCAGACACAGCAGGACCCCCCCGGGCGCTCTGACGTGGGACGTGGCCCTTCTGTTTGGCACCTTCTTTTCTATTGCGAGACCAAATCCCCCAATGCACGTGCAGAAAAGGCAGTGAACGCCTGAGTGCAATGTGTTGCAGAAGACCCAGTGAAGCTCTGGGAAAGGCCCTGAGTAGTAACAGCAGGACAGAAACAGGGATGGGGGTGAGCTCAGTGGGCACACAGCTTGCGGGGGTTAAAGCCGTGGCCAAAAAGGAGCAAATTCTCTGAGTTGATACGGAGAAGTCCCCAGGGCCAAGAGAGCTGGGACGTGTGTGATGCACTGTCTGCATCTGCTGGCACTGCTGAAGGGCTCAGAGGACTTTGGAGAAGCAAAGACCTGAGCCCCAGCTGGGAGCACCCATAGCTAGTGCAGAGGGAAAGTAGCTTGAGCTTTGGCTAATTCCCTTCCAGGGAACCCGAGGCAGAGCCCTCCATCCAACAGTGCTATGAACCTCAGAAGAGCCAGGCAAGGAAACTAAGCAGGTTATCGGGGGCCATGGGGGGCAAGGGGGAGAGATGCCTCGGGGAGCTGGGCACCCTCCATCCTTGGAAGGGCTCGGGAGGAGGCTGGACCGGTGCTGGTGGGGGCTGATCTCGGTGCAGCGAGGCCTGGAGCGTGCAGTAAAGAGTGACAGATGGCAGCAGGGAGCTGCCCACCCACACGCGCGCGGAGCATTAGGGATGACGAGGAACCTGAACCAGCAGGTGTTGGCGAGGACCATGCACAGCAGAGCTACCCACTTCACTGGGAGGGTTTGGACAGGGCTGATCCTACCTCGGGGAGAGGCTGGAGCCAGTGAGCTCTGGAGCGCCCTCCTAGCCCTGCTGTTCTCGGGGGCCCTGGGCCCGGCTGCTGCAGGTGAGGGTCTGAGGTGGCCATTTAGGGGATACCTCAAAGAACCACTGATCTGTAAATGCAGGGAGCTGGAGTCGGTGGCCCTGAACCCGCCTGCCTCCCGGGCTCCTATCAGTGGCAGCAGCCATTGCAGGGCACTGCTGCATCCGCAGCTAAATGCCCCATCTCTCCAAGGAACCTCAGCCCTGCTCACAAGGGCTGGAGCACCCTGGGGCCCTCTACAAGGAGGACAAGGTGCCCCGCAGTTGCCCTGGACCGACTCCCCTCTCAGCCCACAGGGACTGGAAACCTAGTAAACGAGCAGTGCAACAACTGGCTAAAAGCACCATTAGACCCTGGAGTCCAGAATGAATGAGCAACAGCTGAACAGGGGGCTCCGCGCTCTGGGGGCAGCTGGAAGCAACTCAGCCAGTTAATGAAGTAATGCTGATCCCCTGGCGCAGAGCCAAAGCATGAAGCACAGGACTGGTCCCCAGCTCCAGTGAAGAACCAGCTCTGGAAACCTGAGCGGGGCACGGGGTTGCCAGCCCTCGTGGGCACTGGCTAGACCGTCCCCGCTGTGCTTCAGTGAGGGGCGTGATCGTTAACCCTTCTGCTGTGCAGCAGAGCCCCCCGTTTCTGGACTTGTGCCTGGGTTTGTCCCCAGGTCCTAACCCCCAAAGCACCAGGAGCATTCCAGACAAGAGATGGACGATTGCAGGCCTGAGGCCAAGATAAAGGCAGCCTGTTCCCCTCCCAGCACCAAGGCAGTTGGTTCCCCCATCTCAGCTTTAGCAAACCAAATATGTAATATTTAATCAACCAGATGGTTGATTAAATATTAAGTAATTGGTAGGGGCATCTGTGTGTGTGTGTACAGGGGAGAGGGGCAGGGGTGCAGCGACAACCTCTGCCGCTCAGGGGAGGCAAGGGAGCAGAGGCCAAGAAGGCTGCTCCTAGGCGCGCAGAAGGGGCCTTGCCATGGCAGTGTGGCTGGCACAGGGCTCCTGGGGGTAGGGGGGAGGATGGCCACAGAGGCCCCCGGGAGAGGGCAGCAGGGTCATCCCCCAGGATAAGCCACACATGGCTCCATGCTGCTCCCTGGCTGGGCCCCTCGGCTACACATTCCCACCCTGGGCCTTGCCCCCAGTCCCAAACCCTGCCCCACTCCTCCCTCACCGTGGGGACCTCAATCTGCTTCCCTCCCACACCCCTATGTACCCCCATAGACATTCCCCCCTTCACGGGCACCCTTGGATGAGATGCCCAGGCTCTGATTGTCTCACCACTTGGCCTGGCTGGGGCCCCCTTCCCCCCAGCCCCTGCTCCTGCCTGTGCCCCACTCCCTCCCTCTCCATGGGGTCCTCGATCTGCACCCCCCAGCCCATTCCCCTTCACAGAATAGATTGATACTTACCTGCTGCGCTGGGCAGCCAGTGATCTACATGCCTGGCTGTGATCCTGACTGCGTGCACGCCCTTCCCTATCCCTGCTGCAGCCACCCAGAGCCTGAAGCTGGGCTGCCTTGTGGCCTTACCCACTGCCCCATGTTTCGGGGTTTGAGCCCCATTAGCCCTGCCTCCTGTCGCCTATGCCTGCAGGGAGCTGCTCTCCATGCTTTCTGGCTGCATTCCTGACCATGTGCATGTGCGCGTGCACGTGGCGCTCCTGCGTCCCACTCCCCCAGCCCCAAGCAGGCTGGATTGCAGCCAGCCTGCAAGGGGAACCTGCCATTTCCCACATTTTTCTCTTTTAAAGGAAACAATCTGCATTTTTTCCCATGGTAAATGGAAAAACCAGCTCCCTGGTGATGATCCACCCACCTGTACCCTACTCATCAAATACAAGCTCTGCCCATGGAGCCCGGCCTTCTTGCCAGGCACTGGAAACATGCAACCCACTTTCCCAGCTCCTTGTAGAGCAGATCTGGGTCTTCCTCCCTCCCTCTTTACAGCTCTGCCTCAACTCCTGTCTCCCGGTAGCTGTTGGGTTGGGTTTCACAGCATCACTGCCCTGCCTCCTTCACTCAGACCTGGAGCAGCCACAAGCCCCTGCCCCTCTCATAGTCTGAGCTTTTCTAGGCCAACTGCGACAGTGCACAAAAAGCTGAATAGGAGCTAGTAGTGCACCCTTGTTGCCAAGAAGGCTAACAGCATCCTGGGCTGCATGGGTAGGAGCGTTGCCAGCAGATCAAGGGAAGTGATTCTTCCCCTCTATTCACACCTGGAGTCCTGTGACCAGTTTTGGGCCCCCCACTGCAGAAAGGATGTGGACAAGTTGGGGAACTGGCAACAAAAATGGTTCAGGGGTTGGGGCACGTGAGTTGTGAGAAGAGGCTGAGAGAACTGGGCTTGTTGAGTTTGCAGAAGAGAAGACTGAGAGGGGATTTAATAGCAGCCTTCAACTCTCTGCAGGGGGGTTGCAAAGAGGATGGAGCTGGGTTGGTCTCAGTGGTGGCAGGTGACAGAACAAGGAGCAATGGGCACAAGTTGCAGCAATGGAGGTTGAGGTTGCAAAATACTCTCTCACGAGAGGGTGGTGAAGTACTGGAACAGGCTACTCAGAGAGGTTGTGGAGTCTCCCTCCTTGGAGGTTTTAAGGCCCGACTAGACAAAGCCTTTGCTGGGATGAAGTAGTTGGGGGTGGGCCTGCTTGAAGCAGGGGGTTGGACTAGATGTGACACATCTAGTCCAACCTTCATCCTCTATGACTCAATGACTGTGATTCATAGGAAGAACAACATGGGTTTGCTGAGTGCTTGGACACAGCCTTCCAACAGCTTTGCAAAGAGTGCGCTCTGTACTGCAGCGACTCAGCTGGGCAGCTCGTGGCACCCTTTTAGGAGCAGAAAAAGCACTAACATCTCTCTCCCAGGGGCATCTGGCTTCCCAAAGGTAGCTCCAATGAGGATATCAGAGAGTAACTAAAGGAGCAGCAAAGAGAGTGAGACATTGCGGGAAGTGCAGGGAGCATTGAAGAATACCACACAGGCGATCAAATGAAATGCATCTTACAGATGAAGCCAACAAACAGAAAGACTAGAGCAGGTGAGAGCCACTGCAGTTCAATGGGGAAGTGCAAATATAAAACAGAAATGTTATTCGAGAAACGGATATCACATCTGAATGAGGGGACAGGACAGATCATCCATGCTGCGAGCTGCAGGCAGTGCCGCAGTCAGGCAAACCAAGAATCATTTCAAGGGCCACCTGCCAGAGCCATAAAACAAAATGCATGCACGTATATCAAATCGGAGAGGCAGGAAGCTGGCCAGGGATTCGGAGCTGCCACTGGACAACTAGGGCATGAAAGCACTCAAGGAGGAGAAGGCAGCTGAGAGAAGCTAAATTAATTCATAGAAATCCTAGAGCCATGGGGCTGGAAGGGACTTGCAGAGGTCACATCTAGTCCTAGCCCTGCCTGAGGTTGGATCAGCCCTGCTCAAACCTGCCCCAACAAACCATCATCTAAACTCTACCTAAGGCTACTGACAGCCCTGGCACAGCACCAGACATTGCACCTGACCCTGCCACTGGTAAAGCAGGGAGACTGCGGTGGCCAACACTGGTGGAAAAAGTGGTGAATATACACTCCAGAGGTCCCATGCCACCTGTTACAGAGGAAAACAAACCTCCCCAGTCTGTACCAATCTGACCATGGGGTAAAATTCCTTCTAGGCCCCAAATCTGGCATTGGTCTGAGAGGGGCCGACCCTAGGGGTGTGCGGGGCCCAGGGCATATCAGCCTGTGGGGACCTGTGCAGGGGGAGTGGCGAGCAGCTGGAGCGTGAAGCTGGCTGTGCGCGATGGCCATGTGGAGTGGTGGCGCCTTTGGCACTGTCCGCAGGACTTCCCAAAGGGACCCAGGGCGCTTACCCCGATTCTCCCCTCCCCCGCAAGGGACAGCTCTAGGTCTGAGCTTGAGTGGAGAGATAAGACCCCCTAGCTAGGACCCTGTGGGGTTGGTCCTGCCAGGAGCATTGGCAGAGCCCCGTCCCCATTCCCAGCCCAGGCTGTAGCAGCACCCAGCATCTCTGGGGGAGGCTCAGAGGAAAAAAAAACCCTGACATTTGCAGGGCAGCAGCTAGGGAGAAATTCCCTCCCAGCACCATGCAGCAACTGGCACAGCCCAGCAGTCTGGGACATCCCCAGATCAGAGCCCGGGCATCACTGTGCCTCAGTCACCTATGCCCAAGAGTCCCGGAGAACCCAAACCCCAACCTGCAGGTCCACTGACTTTGGTGTGTAACTTAGCACAAAAACAGCCTCTGCACCAGGGGCTGGAGGGTTGCCAGCGTAGCACCAAGCCTTGCAAGGGCTCTGGAGGGGATCCAGGGGACTAGGGACAAGTGAGCGCAACTTTGCAACCTGGCAAAAATGATAGGAAAAATAGAGTGCATGTGTGGGTCATAAGGGAAGGTCATACCTCATAAACACACTGCAGGTCTCCAGCCAGCTTGTGCATATGCTGCATGCAGGATTTGCAGAAGCTTTTGACAAAAGTTTGCACAGGAACTAAGCTGGCCTGACCTCTGTGGATTGAGGGGAACAGGAGCAGTTTTAAAAGGTCCAGTCTCCCAGGGGAGGGAGCTACACTGTGGGGTCCTCGTCCTCCACGAGGTAGTGCCGAGGGCTGACCTGCTCAGGAATGGTTTGGAAAGGGAAGGGAATAGCGAGGGGCCCGTGGGTGTAGGCAAGACCCAGTTAAAAAGCCCCGAGGGGCTGTGAAGAACAGCACAAGGATCTGGGAAGGTGAAGGAATGGGCTGCACAACAGCAGCTGAACTGGAACAGCATGAGCGAGCCTGGCTGTTTTGGAGCAGGGTCTGCTGGTCTATTGGGACGCTGCACTCCAACGCCTCCTCCTTCAGAGAAGAAAACCCCATGCCTCCTTCTCCACAGCTGACCAGGAACGAAGGGGTTCCCAGAGATGGGGAGCTATGGGTCCCCAGAAAGCCAAGGCCTGAGAAGAGCCGGGTCTCCAAGCCCAAGGCTGCCCCATGTGAAGCCACACCAGGGCTGGCAGCAGAGGTGTCCTTGGGATTGCGGAGAAGGTGGAAGAAGAGCTTTCCCTCCTACTTGGAAAGAGGCAGTTGATGGTTTTTGCGTCATTAATATAGTTTCTGATATATTTTAATGCAAGGGGTTGAGCATGAAGACACCCCCCTCCTCCAAACTAAGGGAAGATGATGCTAAACACTGAGCTGCTTCACTCGCCGGCCTTGCAGAGCTGGGCTATGGACAATGAATGAGCTAGGGCTAGTCCTTGTGGACACGGGTTTCAGCCCCAATGCATAGCTCACGTGCCTGGTCCTGCTTCCATCAGCAAAGTCCTGGCGTCTGGCCTCTCAAGCCCAGCTCTAGACAAGGTGACTTAGATCTTGTGCTTCATGATGGAGGAGACAGAGGCACCAGAGCCAAGAAGGCTGATGTGTCCTTCCAGGGGGAGAGTCCGATAGAGGCCCTCGCTGCCCCCTTCTCAGGCCAGGAGCAAGGGAAGAGCATGCAATCCCAGTCCTCCCCACTCCTTCTTTCAGCTCTGGTTGGCCTGTCCCCATCCCTGCAGCCAGCCCTTGGGTGCAAAGCCAATACACCCCAACGAGCTGGGGGGGGCAGGAGGTGAGATCCAGTCTGAGCCTGATGGCACCTGCAGCCCAGCGGCAGGGTCATGCGCTGAGGTCCATGAAATTCACCTCGCCCAGGACCTGGCTGGACCAATGCAGAGGCCTCAGGCACATCGTGGAGGCTGGAGCGACCAGCTCCTCACACTGTTTTCAATGCCTGGGCTCATGCATCCTGGCCTTAACCTATGCCAGGAGAGCTCTGAGATGGCTCTGATGGATTTCCAGGCAGCAGCCTGGGCTTTTGGGGCCTGAATAATGCATGAGGCGTTCGGAGGCCAGGAACGCGGCGGCTTCTGGCCAACGCTGCAGGGAAAGGATTAACCTCAAGGGGGGTTGGGGCTGGGTCCTGCAGAGACCAAGCTGGGGCTGGCAACCCGGACGGTCCTGGTAGGAAGAGTTTGCTACATCTCCTTCTCTGCCCTGGTCACAGCGAGTATCAGCACGTGTCACTCCCCTATGCTTAGGGTATCGTCACACGTCACACTTAGCACATGCAGTCCCATGGCAGCACTGGCTGTGATCCCACTCTACATCGGGCAGGAGCCAGTCCTAGGTCTATGACTGGCTCCCAGGCTGTGCTAGTTCTGCTCCTAGCCCTTCACCTCCCCCAAAAAGGCCTGACTTTGCTGCACTACAAAGGCATGTGGCACTGCTCGGACACTGCCACTGTCAGTGCAAGCCCCTGCAATGTGTTACATATATCTCACACTTGGCCAGTCAACTGTGCAATAAACTGAGACCAACCAAAGGTGCAAAGTAATGGTCACACCCTGAAAATGATTGTTCTGCTGGGCTGGGCCGGAGGGAGCTGGGGGAGGGGGCACTTCTCCCCCTCCACCCCAGCCCAAGGCCTTGCCCAGCCCTGTCTCCCTGGGGCAGCTGCCGACCCCAGCTGGGTCCTGGCAGCTTCAGGGCAGGGTGTGGGGCGGGGGGAATGCCCTGCAGGCATGGACATGAGGTTGACATGGGCCACTGGACACACGCAGACACACATGCATGCATACACACACGACACAGGCATATGGGGGACACGTGTGCACCCCCCAAATGCATAGATCTGGGGGAGGGGACACAAACTCACACATACACAATGCAGGCATCCAAGACACATGTATACAGACACAAGACGCAGGCATCCCGGACCCATGCACATACAGATGTACATTCGCAAGCACAGGTGATGCAGGCATTCAGGGCACACGCAGGACACAGGCATCTGGGACACACACACACACACACACACACACATACATGCACACACCATGCAGGCATCCAGGACAGATACACACATGTACACAACACAACAGAAGCATCCAGACACACACAACACAGGCATCTGGGACACACACATACGCACGCATGGCCCTGCACACCCTGTGCCCATGATTCAAACTCACCACCCCAGATGTTAAGGCCGGTGCCCGCAGCCTGGGCTGGGAGCGGGCAGAGGTGTCGCTGCCCCTGCCCCCGCTCCCCCTACATGCTCCCTCAGCTGGAGCAGGGCCAGTCCCCCCACCTTGTCCCCCCAACCCAGCCAGGACACGGCACCAGCGCTGAAATCCAGTCTCTTTATTGCATGAACAATCCCTACTGTACAGCGCCGGGTGCCCGACCGCCCGTGGGTCTGAGGATGGGCCGGGCCGGGGCCACGTTCCCTGAGGAGCCGGGCCGGGGTGGGGGCCAAGCCAGGCATGGGGGCAGCTGGTGCGTGGGGCTCTGCGGCCCAGGAGCCTGTCCCCCACCCCTCTGCGGCCCAGGCCAGGGGCTGGGGCTGTTCTGCCCAGCTCAGGGAGGCCCAGCAAGGCTGAGGGAAGCCCCAGCTGCAAGGACCACCTCTGGACCCACCCTGTTGCCCCGGTCTGAGAGCGCTGGTGTGTGCGGGGCAGGAAAGGACAGGGGAAACGGGCCAGGGCCCACAGCTGGCCGGCGGCCTCCCCTCCTCAGACCCAAAAAGTGCTGGCGGTGCGGTCGGCACAGCGACCCGAAGCGCGTGGAAATGTGCAAACGAAGCGAGCGTGCGAGGGCCCAGCCGGGGGCGGGGGACGGGCGCGGGGCCGGCCCTGCCACGCGGCGCCCACCGGCCAGGGAGAGCGCAGCGATTCACAGCAGCATGCTTTGCTAGGAGCGGGCCCAGGCATGCAGGGGGCCGGCATCAGCCTGGCCTGGGCTCCGGGCGGCTCAGCGCTGCGGGGGCGTTCGTCCGCTGTTGGTTGCGGCCACAGGCCTGGAACAGAGGTGGGTGTGTGGTGTCGCTTGGCTGCTCCTTGCCCCAGGCAACAGCAGGAGGCTGTTACCCTCACCAAGGGCAGCGGCAGCAGACTGTTACCTTCGCGGGAGGGGCTGGGATGGACAGGGGGAAAGAAGCTGGTCCAGTGCTGAGAGCAGCAGGCTGGGAGCCCGGATGCCTGGGTTCTATCCCAGCTCTGCGAGGGGCCTGGGGTCCGGGCGCGGTCTCTCTCGGACAGGTGGGCACTGGACTCCGGGGGGGTTAGAGCAGGGGGATCTGGGGGCCCAAATGCCTCCCCCTGGTGTGGTACCTGCTCAGCCAGGGCCTCGTGCTTGGTGGTGCCCACGACTACTCGGCCACCTGCACGCCAGTGCAGTTCTCCTTGCTCTCCGAGGTGATGGCCAGGTACTCAGATCTGCAGAGACAGAGCTGTGAGTAGGGGCAGAACCAGCCTAGGACCCTTGTCCATGGGCAGCCAGGGCTCTTCTGGTTTGGGGGTGGCCCCGGCCCCGGCCCCAGCACTCACGCATTCTCCTGTGCAGCGGCCTCAGTGGCGGCCGCGATCTTCTTGTAGCAGTACACCATCTCGGCCACCAGCCAGATGGTCAGCACCACGATAAGCACGTACATCATGATCTCCGAGATGATGGAGGCGATGTCCCGGTTGGCTGCAGGTGCATGGAGGGCAAGAGCAGATGAGCCTGGCTGGGGACCCTCGCGTCCCCAGCTCCCAGCTCTGGGAGCAAGTAGGTGGCAGGGACACGGCAAAGGCAGGACGTGTCAGGGGTGAGGGATCATGGAGCAGCACTGGGTGCTAGGCAGGGGGGATCTGTCTAGGCCAGGCCTTGCGGGGGCTGCTGCTCTCAGTCTGGGATGCTAACCAGGCCCAGTGGGCACATCCATGGGTGCAACCATGACCCTAGGTGCTGGCTGGGAGGGGTGCAGGCATGCGCATGCATGTATATGTGGGGGGCACGTGTGTGTGCATGCGCAAGCATTTGTATGCAAGCATATGCACATATGTATGCATAGGCTTGTGTATGCATGCATGTACACAGGTGTATGTCTGTACATGTCTGTTTGTATGCATGTGCGTGTGAGCACAAGCATGTGCATGTGTGCATGCATAGCTACATGTGTACATACAAGCACGGGTATGTGTGTGTGCATGCAGGTATGTATCTCTGCAGGTGTGTCCGTGCATACAAGCCTGGGTACGTGCATGTATGTGTATGGCTGTGCATGTGTGAGTGCAAGCGCATGCCCATGTGTGTCATGGGGCCAGCCCTGGAAGCAAGCATGGCCCTGTGTCCGTGCCTGTGGCAGCACCCACACTCACCCTTATCTACCACGGTGACGTGGATGGTCTTGTTGATGACGGTGTTGAAGACGTAGCCGTCAAAGGTGAGGTTGCGGTCCACACGGCACAGGTACTCGCCGGCATGGTCATAGGTGACATTGAGCAGGAAAATGGACAGGTCCTGCAGGTCCCGCGTGCTCTTGCTGCCATTCCACACCACCAGGTTCACAAAACGGTCATCCAGCACCAACAGGTCCGTGTCAGGTTCAAAGCGCAGGATCTGCACCCGTGGAAGAGGGGTGAGGCTGGGGGACCCTCTCGGGCCCCATGGGGAGCCACCCCTATGCACACGGATGCACATGTATCATGGGAAGGGACACTGTGCACACACATGCACCGTGGAGGATGCCCGCCCGCCACACCACACAAGGCCTCACTTTGTCGAAAGAGTCAGCACCCTTTTGCTTGAAGTACCACTCAGTGTAAGCCTCGGCCGTGGTCTCACTGCGCTTCTTGCACGAAATGCATTGGATCTTGAAGGTCTTCCCGGTCACGGCCTCGGTTTCTGAGTCTACCTCCACACAGCCCGCCCAGCATGATGCCACTGCAGGTACACAGGGCTCATCAGCCTCCCACCCTGGGATCTGCCACCACTACCCACGCGTGTCACCTGTGCTGAGTGGTACCTTGGACCCAGGCAGGGGCCAGAGCAGCAGAGGGGGAGAGGAGGCAGAAGCATGTTGACTGGGTGGGTGGGTGCGTGTGTGTGTGAGTGCATGTGTATGTCTCTGTGTGGGTGTGTGTACATACAAGTGTGGGCAAGTGTGTATGGCCATGTGCATGTGTATCTGTGTGTGTGTACATCTGTGTGGGTGCAAACAGGTGTGTGCACATCTACATGCGTGTGCATGTCTAGGCCAGTGTGTGCAGGTGTGTCAAGGCACCTGTGGCCTGCAGCCAGGTGACACAGGCCCCCCTTGCTGCCCGGGCGGTGAGCGGAGCTGGGGGCAGGGGGGGTCAGACCTGCGGGACCCAGGGAGGGGCGAAGGGGGCAGCGGGTCGTGGTCGGGGCGCAGGCGAGGCGGGCCGGGCCGGGCGCAGGGGGCGCAGCCGGGGCTGCTGCTCCCCCCAGGCTCCGGCCGCCCCGGGAGGAGTTGGAGGAGGCTCCGGGCCC